TTGCGAGAGAATATGCGGAGCGCGTAAGTGCCCGAAAGTACATATATTGATATATATATTTAAAAAGAAAGTGCGTACACAAAAAAATGCAGGTCAAAAAGATGAAGCAAATCACAGGAAGACAATATGATGCCAGATATTGAGGTTGACAAGTCTAATGTAGGTTGTACCCTGAAAAGTTTGGGTTCCACAGATCTAGCTTAGGCGCCCGACGAGTGGAGCGATTAGGGAGGAGTTGAAAGGTGAACACTAATGCCACGTCAGTGTGCCACGGGGGAATAATAGCTCAAAGGAATCAACATGGATGAACAGACAAGAAATTGGAGAAATCGTGGAGGACAAACGTGCGATTATCTGGATAAGAGATATGATTACCACTGATCCAGTGTTGAAGGTCGAACAGTGCACCAAAAAAGCTCAACTACTATAATCCGAATCTGTTGTTGTTATGTTGGTTTTCACCGGAAAAACTCGTTCCACTAATCATGCTTTGAAGCTCAACCAGCTTAGAAATGTGTTGAGAAGTGACCACTGCTGCCTGGTCAGCATTCGCCACGATGAGAAGGTGGATAAGGGTTAGAGATGAAAGAATAGACCAGAAATATTGAGATTTATGGGTGACCAACCAGTTTTAGGTTTTCACGTAACAGGTTTTTGTTCCACTGATCAAGCTCTGAAGCTCGACCAGTGTACTGATCAGAAAAGGCTGAGAGGTTACCGCTGCTCTCTGGTCAGAATGTGCCATGAAGAGGAGGTGGATGAGAGTTAGAGATGAAAAAACAGACCGGCAATATGCGGACCAAAAATACGCGCGCTATTTGATCTTCACTTGAACTTAGGTTCTGTTTTTACATATATGTTCATTTATCACAAATTAATGGTAGTATTTGCTTCTGTTACTGCTTAGACAGTTGTGCAGTTGCAACATACACCAGATTTATAATCTACCCGCCTCGTCATCCCAAATCATCCTTCCATTCCACCTTGCTTCTATAATTATAGACTGGTCTCTCGTCTTGCTCTACTAGTCCAATTACTCAACAATCGTTGATTGCGCTACACCACAATCAACGTGTAATAAGTGATCGCTTGCTTTGGATATATACAAACATTCCATTTACTACTCTCCACCGCTGACGTTCCTATCTCCCAAGTTCTTAAAACTGTTCCGGTGCTCCCTGAGCACTCTCACCTCTTGTCTCATTTTAATCGTTCCACGTAGGATCCTGCTCAACAACGTTAACCTGCCAGTGCGCGGAACCAAAAGTGCCTTGAAGGCCTCTAACCCCACTCCCACGCTACCACGTTGTACAATACCTCTAATTAATGTCTTAGATAACGCAAATAGGAAAGTATCCCCGCTGGAGCGTTACATAACGACCATCTCATCAGATATAGCTAGCATCAATGAGATTATCGCCAAACTCGCCCCACTTACACGACTCCACGATTCCCCCCCTTCCAAAATCAACCAATCACATCTACTCTCTGTAGGTAAATTTATTGACAGTTTAACAACGGAAGTTGTTTACCGTTTGTCTAATGCAAAACTTACATGTGACAAACCTGTTGTAGGTCTTCACCTAACAGGGTTTTGTTCCACTGAAGCTCTACCAGTGTATTGATTAGAAACGGGTTGGAAAGTGTTCACTGCAGCCTAGTCAGCATTTGCCACGATGAGAAGGTGGATAAGGGTTAGAGATGAAAGAATAGACCAGAAATATTGAGATTTATGGGTAACCAACCTGTTGTAGGTTTTCACGTAACAGGGTTTGTTCCACTGATCAAGCTCTGAAGCTCGACCAGTGTACTGATCAGAAAGGGCTGAGAGGTTACCGCTGCTGCCTGGTCAGAATGTTCCACTGAAATGAATCAGTTTGCTGATGACATTTAAATTTGCAACTTCAACACTGATACCAGATTAGTATTTTATGGTCAGTTGAGTCGTCTGAGTCAAATTTAAACCTAGGTCAGCAGTGCATCAATTTAGGAATAAGTATTCACACTACGCTCTAAGTGCGTTGCAGAATATTCTGTAAACTGCGATCTTTTCGCCGTCGTTTAATAATCTAGCCCATTCTCACAAGTTGATGTATCGTCGTGAAGATTATGCAGTTGGGCCATTTCAGCTAGAGTGAAAAATCGACAGATGCGATTCCTAAACATTGGGGTGGATGTTATTTGGCTTATTTAGACTAGAAGTTTATTCCAGAGGCGTGTTTAACAAACTAGGAAAACTTTTCGTCGGGTGTTTGTTCTATCATTAGGTAAGGGGAGGACATTTACGTGATAACGAATGGGGTATGGTAGATCGACCTCAAACTGGATTTAATTTACCGAATGCGCCCGCTTATATAGGAATCCGTGCAGAAGGGTAAGGTTGAGCTTTGCACGGCGCAACGACAGGGGGTCAAGTTTTAAGACGAGACATTGCCCCATGTAGTTCAAGTCTGAGGTCCAGTCAAACATTTGTTTTCTAAGTGTTCGCTGGACGTTCTCTGTGGCTACTCTATCTAGCTTTCTCATACTGGAGTACGCCCTTGACGAAAACTTTAACAAAGGCCTAGTGTGGGATTTGTACAAAGTGATTATGCTATCACGGAGACTGAAAGTCCTAAAGAAGAGGTTTACTGAGCGTCTGGCCTTGGCTACTTGCAAAGCACAATGCTCAGAGAAGTTAAGAGAACAGGAGTAGCTTAGTCCGAGTCACGAATGGATGTGGAGTTGGCAATAGGAATACCGTTCATGGTCAAAGAACCCGGAGGTACTTGACATCGAAAAGACAATATGCTACT